TTGTATATCCCCTTGCTCTGTTTGGATAACAGCTTTTGATTTAGGCATAGCTTTTATGTTGTTGTTGACTGTTCTCGAGTCACACAACTCATAGCGACTCAATTAACAAAAGACCTGAGGCCTTTATATAACTATCATTTCTCCAAGTTCATAGAGTTTCTAGAGGCATGTGGGTGCCACTCCTGCTTTCCAACCTGTCTTAACTGGTAGCTCCACCAAACATTGTCCACCCTGGGCAGTCATTATGGCATTTGAGACCCCAAAGATAAAAGGTTTAGCATCAAAAAAACAAACCAGGGCATCTAGTTGAAGAAATATTTCAAATGGAATTCTAACAATTCTTGACTCATTTTTCATCAATGCCTTCAGTGAAGCTTAAACAACTTCTAATACTGTCAGTTCTTGATCATCCTAAAATGAATGAATATCAACCAATTCTTTTGGCACAGTGACTGTGTATTCCTTTCATCATCTTTTGATGCCTTCTGCATCATACATTATTCCAGGAATCTGTCAATATCTCAACTTAAACTTGATTATTTTTCTGTCAATTCTTTTCAGCTTGAGAAATGCTGATGATATTCTTCCCTTCTGTTTTTCAGAATTCCAGGTTTCTACACACTTCATGATACTCTGCCTTCTCGAGCTGGCCAAAAAATAATCATCTGTTCAGCTCTTTATTTAATAATTTCTTTTATTCATCTTAGCTCCTCAATGTTCAAGAACAAGTTTCAGAGTTCCTTATACATCCATTTTAGTCGTCTTTTTTTTATGTGTTTATTATTATTATTATTATTTCTTTTTGAGGAACCATGTGTAACATCCTTGATATCGTCATATAAGTCATCTAATCATTTTTAGTGTTCAAGGCATCAAATCTGTTCCTGATGTGCTTTCTAAATTAAGGTGATATTTGACTCTTTTGGACTTTTCATTTTCTTCAACTTCAATTTACACATAAATAACTGAAAGTCTGTTCCACAGTTATCCTTATTATTTTCAAGGAATGGGTAATTGATTCTGCAAAACTCCATTATGCTTCTACCAACGAGTCCATTTTCCAACTACTGCATCTTCTATTTCCAACTTACCTAATCCATTAACCAATAATTATCAACGGCATCCTCTCTTTGAGTTTCAACAATGTAAACACATGGGCCTCATAAAATTAAATATACAGTAACAGATTGTATCTGTGGAAAGAAATATTTTAAAGTTTTCATCATCAGTTAAAAAAAGCCCCAGGTCTTGTTTTAGAAATGCTTCAAACCTGGAATTGAACCACTCTTAGTGTTCACCTTTCAGCCAAACAATAGGCCTATAAAGTAACAACTGTTAGAAGAAATAAGCTCTTCTGAACCACTAACCATAGGACACCAAAAGGGCAGCTCTTGCTCCATAACAAAGTTCTGAAAGCAAGGATGAGAAAGAAAGATGGATAAATGAAAACAGGAAACCTAGGGAGGAATGGGAAGAGTGCTATTCCATGAGGGGTTGTAACTAATGTCACGAAACAAAACGCATAACTTAGTGAATAAGAAAGCAATTTGCTCTGTAAGCTTTCACTAAACTATAATAAAATGTTAAAAAAAATTGTTTCCATAGGGATCTGCACATTCTAGTCTCCAAAAATGTAAAGTAATTTTTCTCTTAGAAAATTTTTCTCTTGCTATTTTGGTCTAAGGTTAACAGTGGAGGCTATGGTTCCTTCTACTTTTCCCCCTATGTTAAATGGATGATTGTAAGCTTTTAAAACTCCAGTAACTACTCACTAACGTCAGATTACAGAAGAGTGTCTTTTCTGCAGTCAGAAATGACTCATAGCTGACCCTCCCTCCAGTCAGTTTTCAGAAGCACTAACTGCACAAGAGATTACTCGACTTACTCCTGTGGAGTGACTGATGGATTCAGTATGCCTTTGGGTTGGCAGCACAATTCCTTACCACTAAGCCATCACAGCTCCTTTATGGAGTATGCCATGCCAATTGAGCTAGATGTCTCTTTAAACTACAGGTGTAAACACTGAAGCCTAGTACCCTTTTACAAATGTATTTCCAAATTCATTACTGATATATCTGGTTTCATTCTGAGTATGTTAAGAGAGTAGAATGTTTTAAATTTTCACAATTAACAAACTCTTTAATGTGAACTAAGTAAAAATTTAATGACTTTAACCTATTGCATTTAAAATCTGTTTTCACATTCAACCTTTTTAAAAGGAAATATCTAAACTGTTCCTTTAAATCCGCAGGGGAAAGATGGACAATCTCCTCCTGGACAATTTTCTGCCTCTGAAGTCAGACATGGATTAGTTCTGAGACAACAGTACACCTCCAAAGTAAGAAAACGAGCAAAAAGCAGCAATCCTCCCACCAAAACAAGGTCTAATAAACCTGTGTGATCTCATCAGTTCCTCCATGATCAGAAAAGGGAATTAAAAAATAATCATATGAACCAAGCACTAATTAGTAGGAAAAATTATGATACACTAATACAGAAGTGCTAGTGGTGGTAGAGAAATTAAGTGTGCAGCTGAAAAGTGTACAGCAGCCTGTACAGATTTACAGCTTTGGAAACCCTACAGGGCAATTCTACTTTGTCCAGCAGGGCTGCAATGAGTTAGAATTTAGTTGACAATAAGGGGTTTGGGTTTGACCCAACAACTCATCATAAAGAAACCAAAAATTTCTCTATAAAACCATTCCCAATAATGTTTATAAAAACAAGAAAACAGAACACAAAAAGACTAACAGCGGTCAATAATGGACTGACAAAGTAATTTAAATGGAAAAGTTACTTAGTGACACAGAAAGTTGTCCAGGGATTCTTTCAGGTAGGTTTTATAGCCTGCTTTTTAGTGAAAATATAGAGTATGATCTCATTGTCAGTTTTAAAAATTTACATAAAGCTTATTCAGAGATCAAAAAGGATAACTGCTGTTTATAATCTAGTTTATTTTTCCAAGAGGTGAGCTTATTTTCTTTTTAAAAAAAAAAAAAAATTCTTGCATAATGTTTTTCTTAGCACGTGCACTTATTACCCACAAATTTTTAATTCCAAATCTGTAAGCATTAAGTAACTGCAACCAAGGCCTGGTACAGACTTATAGATGCCTAGGATACATTCTATTCTTTATTTTACTAAAAATATACAATAAGAATACTTGTCCAAGAACTATTTAAGAGCATCTATAAAATAAGGAAGACCAAAAAAACCCAAATAAGCCCAGGCATGGAAAGAAGATAAAAAGTCAGCCAGAAGACTCCCTAGTTGTCAGTAGTTCCTCTCATCAACATTTATTTTCTCTCCCATAAATTGAAAAAGGAAGAAGGATGCCATAAGCAAGCATTAGCTTCATTTCTGTTCCAGAAGTGACATTAAGAACTTGTAAGGTTTGGTTTCAGTGATTATGAAACACATCTAGAAGCTGGGAAAGTTGGATGAGATTTAGCTATGTGAAGGTAGACTAAAAAGAAGTCAAAAAGTTATATATCAGGTTTTTTAAAAAGCTAACCAAAATGCCAGAAGTTACATAATAAATTAAAATATATCAGATTTGTTACTGTAGAAAAATTACCTGTATCCAAGGTTTTACTACAAAGTTTTACTAAATTCCCAGATTTTTTTTTTTTAAAAAGAAGAAACTAGAAAATAAAAAACTTCAAAATATTAAAGTTCCTGTTCTCAGAATTCAATTGTCATTCTGTGGATTGGGGGGAAAATCAATAAAACTTCTTTAACTCTTCAATTTCTTTCTTAAACTGTATTATCTACAGAAAAGTTCGAGAAATCCACTGTTTTAGCACTTTCATTCAAAACTGATTGCAAAAAACAATGCTGCTTATTAGCCAAAACCTCCACAATCCATTAATTATGAAAACTCTACAAGTAGTAACATTTTACTAATTTGTTTTTTAACAAATGTAATGACTGGCATGCAAGAAGTCACTAAATTACTGTTCACATAAGTCGTTCCATGCATCTGAAAGTTACAATCAATCAAAGCTTAATTTTTTTATCTTCCCCTGGATCCTTCATCACTACATACCCTCGACATTTAAAAAAAAAATAAATACAAAATTAAGACACGGAAAGTTAATGAGATGCGCCTATCAATTTGAACAAAACCTAATTTACCATAAAACAGGAATTTTCAGAAAGGCGAGTCCAGAAGCTAGTAACTGCAACTGTGTCCTAACTCACAATAGAGTGTTGTCCAATATTAGACAATTACACTGCGCGTCGCTGTTTTTTCCTGCAGAGCTGAGGATGCAATCTGCAGCAACTACTCCAACAGCTTCAGGCAAGTTATATGCTACCAAAAGGGGAAAGTAGCAGTAAGGTGTCCAAACTGACAGCAGGGACTTGAAAATATGTAAGCAGACGCCTCGCCATCGGAAAAGATGGCCCATCAGCACCTCTTCCGAGAAACAGTCCCCTTCCCCCACCCTTAAGTAGGCACTTAAGATTGCCAAGGATATCTGGTTCTTTATTAACTGGTGCCCACTTGGGGCAACCGTACACCGAGCTGCTCTTATGTCTACCTCGCCCATTCCAAAAAGTGCCGAGAGAAAGAAGGGAGGGAAACCCTCCTAAAAGGACAGTAATTCTTCCCGGCTCTCCACCACCCCCCCCCCCACCCCTTCCTGTGCCCCGCCCCTGCAGGCACTCCTCGGACCGGGCGGTGGAAGGACGCCCGGCCAGCGTCGGGCAATCGCCGCCAGCACGCCAAGGCTCAGTGGCCGAAGAGGCCTCAGGCATCAGCAAGACCGGGGAAGCACCGCCCCCCGAGCGCCTCCCCGCAGCCGGCTCCCGGCTCAGTCGCGAAAGTCGGCTTCCGACACCATCTACGCCCGGCACAGGCAGCGAGGGAGGCCGGGCGGCAGCGGCGCGGCGCCGGGCTGTGCACCAGGCCCAGGCCTGCCCCTCGGGGCCGCGCGGGCCGCCCCAATTCGCTCCCCAGGTCGGCCCGGCCAAACGGGCGCGGCAGCCCCCCTCACCTGGATGACCTCGTTGACCTCCCGGATACATTCCACCATGTGTTGCAGGATCTGCTCGGCCGTGAGCACTTCATAGCGGTAATCCTCTTCCTGCTCGTGCCCTGGCCCGCCGCCTCCGCCGCCGCCGCCGCCGCCCGGCCCCAGAGCGCTGCCGCCGCCGCCGCCCGTCTCCCCGCACAGCAGTCCGTCCCGCTCCCCGCCGACGCCCAAGCCGGGCTCCACCAGCTCCACCTCGCCCAGATCCAGGTTATCATCATCCGGCTCGTCCTCGTCTTCATCCTCCTCCTCCTCGGCGCCGCTGTCCTCTTCGCTGCACTCCTCGTCTTCGTCGAACTCGTAGTTGTAACCCTCGTCCGAGTCCATGGCGCGACGCGCAAGGGGCCGGCGGACGTTGGCCCTGAGGAGGGGAGAGGGCGGGGACGCCGAGGCCCCGGCTCTCGCTCCGGCTCCGGTGGATGTCCGGACGCAGGCCTGCCTCCGGCCCCGCGGGCCGCGGCTCCTCCCCGGGCGCGGCGGTTGGCAGTTGGTGGCTGGCGGCGGCGGGGAGGGCGCGGAGGAGGGAGGGAGCGAGGGGACCTCTCGCTGCCCGCCTCAGTCAGACGCGGCTCTGCTCCGGCCTCCGAGAGAAAACAGTCCCCAGCGCCACCTCCACGGCCGCTGCTACCGCTACTGAGCCAACAAAGGGGCGTGCGTCACCGCGTCGCGCTACGCCTTTGCGTCACGTCTCTTACATCACCACGCTCCGCCCAGGCGCCCCTGCGTGGACCCCAAGGAGACCCCATGGCTCTGCCTTCTGCTAAGTACATGTAGACGCGGGAATTGCCTTTTGATTTCTGTTCTCAGAGTCTGGGGCGGTCCAAGACCTGGTGATCCTTTTCTTGAGAGGTCTGTGGCTTTCTTTACACTGAGGCTGATCGATCCCTGGGCCGTCCAGGTGGTTGTTTTTGCCGCAGGCCATAGGGATTCCGTTCCCGGCCTCACGGTATCCCTTAAGGATACCCCCACCCCGGGGCGTAAAGGCATTTCTCCCCTGCCCCAAAGTAATTCTGCAAAACCCTCTGCTGTTGGGTTAAAATACCTGTTTCCTCGGCTACCGAATGGGAATCTGTTTTGCGTAACACGTCTAAATTGTGTGACAGGTGAAGCTCAATTTCGTTCCTTTCGTCCCGCACACTTGTCCAGGTAGGTAGGTGTGCGGTGGTTGTAAAGTGTCCTATATTGACGTCATTTGAAAGAGGCTTTCCTGAATTCATCTACACACACGCGCACACATTGTGGCCCTAATTATTAGCTGAGGAAGTTCTGTTGCCAAAAACCCTAGCGAGTCGCGCTGCTTACCCAAAGGCTGCTCATCTTTGGTGGTTCGAATCCGCCTACAGCTCCGCGAGAGAAAAATGGCACTGAGGAAAAGGCACTTTGACCAAGACCACAGTACACTCGCTCTGGTTTAGTCACTGAATAACCTGAAATATTAACTTTTTTAAAATGTTTTACATTGCACACTATATATTAGACACTAAATAATAACAATAAAACGCGTTAGAATACGAGACAATTCGAGCAATTAAAGAAATACATTCTTGGGACCAATGTAGCAGAGTTTGACTGAAGTTACTGATCTTACCGGAATGTTGTTAGGAGAGTGGCAACGAGTTCTTCAGCATTAGAGGTTAGGAAGGTAGTCTGGCTACTGCCTGAGAGGACAAGAGCAACAATATAGCACAGAAGGTGTAAAGTACTTGATTGAGTTTAAAGTCTAAGTGGCGAAAGTGGCAAAATATTACCGTTTGAAGGCGTTTTAAGAATGAACTTAAGTCTTGTGAATGGAAAAGGAAAACCAGAAATGTGTTCTGACTCAGAAGTATAAGAAAGCTTTGCCCTGACCTATCTTGAAATTTTAAAATCTAGATTCCTAATTGGTTGATAAGTTTTACTAGTCAACTAGTAGGGTTCAACTTGGAAATTTATTTTAAAAGCTATAAACAGTTATTTGTAATCTAAGTATGACTCTGTTGACGTGTCCCTTTTGAAAATTGTGAAATAATCAGAGTTTTGTAAAATACATAATCTCAAGATTTGTCAGTTAAAACTGATAGCATCAGTGCTGGCACTCTGCTAACTTTTTTTAATTATTATTTTTTTTTTTTTATGTGTGTACCATCAAATCAGATCTGACTGTTACAGGAGGAGATTGCCTCTTCTCCAGCCTAGCATCTGGTGGATTCAAACCACTTATCTTTGGGATTGTAGTACGGCTTCTTGCCACTAGGCCACCAGAGCTCCCTTGGCATTCAGTTTCTGTTCAGCAGTCCTAAATTTTTGTTACAATTAAGGCAAGCTATAGATATTTTCCACTATATTACTTTTTTGGGCAGAATAGGGCGAAGTTAGATCTGTTGTTGATAACATTGTAAGTCAAAGATGACTCAACAGCATCTAACAACATGAAAAAAAATTCAGTTGCATTTGTCAGTATCTTGAACTCCTTTCCGCATCTGCCTTTTCAACTTACTCCTCCCTTGAATGAAACTCTGCTACCCATATCCTCCCCTTGGATACCACAGTAGTTGACCACTATTGAAGAAATTAGCATTACTATATACAATCTAATTTACCAAAATTCCAATCACCACATGTAACTAAGTCTTTAACATTGCCCAGCAACACTAGGAAATAGTTCCAAATTATTTTTATACTCTAGGCATCTCTTTCAAATTTTCACCAATTTGAAGAAATTTCTACCCCTACCCTTCTCAGGACTCTTCCAAGCAGACAAATCAACAGGGCCCATGTGACAGAAGCCCACTGAGCAAAGAAAAGCATGCAAAAGGACAAAATCAGAGAAGTTGGAAAGGCAGCATGCCAGTAGGCCTTAACAATGTTACGAGTTTACATTATTGCAAAACTTGTTAAATGTCATCACATGGACTAGTACTCATAGCAGCTCTATGCACAACATCGCAGAGACTTGCCCTGTTCTGCACTCGCTTCACAACTCTGCTGTGCACAAGTCTCTTGCCTTCAGTGAGTCAATCCATCTGGTCAATGGTCTCCTGCTTTTTTTCTGATGTCTGCTTTTCCTAGCATGATACCTTTTACTAAGGAGTGGAGCCTTCTGACAGTTATTGTAATGGAAAATATCACAGAGTTTTAAGTAGAGAAGTGATGTTATCTGATTTATGGTGGTTTTTCTTTTTTTTCCCAAAAGGTAACTATGGTTTTTTTATGGGAATTCAGCTATGAAAGGAGAGTCCAGTTATAAGACTGTGACACTAGTCCAAGTAAATAATTGAAAATTGGATTGGACTAGGCAGTGAAGATGAGAAGTGGTCAGATGCAGATGTAAGGAGAATCGGTTGGCAGTGTCTAGGGACTTGTGTGAAAGAGGAATCAAGGCTACTGCTTAGATTTGAAGCTTGAGCTAGATGAATGATGTGCCATTTCTGACGCAGTTAGAGTTCGCTATACAGTTCCCTTACATAGCAAGTGGAGACGCTGAGTAGGCAAGCAGTTCTATACTTACTGTAGAAGACTAAAGGTTAGGAGAAATTAAGGCAGGAGGTAGAGTTCCATCAGTTTACTTAAGTTGTTTTGAGAATCAGTGTTGTATAAAGGGTAAGAGCTTAGGCTCTAGAAAGGACAGATTTCAATTTGCCTTTGCTCCGCCAGTTGCTTCATGCCACTTCGTGCCAATTAGTGAACTTCTCTGAGCTTCGGTTTGGAGGGTTACAATTCTTTTTATTTTTTTATTATTATTATTTTTACGTGTACCGTCAAATCAGATCTGACTGGTACAGGAGGAGATTGCCCCCTCCTTCTCCAGCAGAGCATCTGGTGGATTTGAACTGCGTTCCTCTGGGATTGTAGTGCAGCGTCTTGCCACTGAGGGTTACAATTATTAATCTCATGGAACTATTTGTGAGAATCAAATGAAATGCCAAAATTAAAGCCCTTGACTTGATGCCACAAAATAAAAACTTTAAAAACTGTACTAAAAGCTGCGCTGCAATTCCAAGGCACGCAGTTTGAATCCAGCAGATGCGCCGCTGGAGAAGTAGGAGCACTCTCCTGTGTCAGTCAGATCTGACTCAACAGTACACAAAAAGAAAAGAGAGAAGAAAAGAAAAAAAAAAGGGGGGGGAGAAAGGTGTTGCATCAAGGATGCCTCCTATCCATTAAAAAAACGTTTAAGAAGTTACCTTGCATCGTGGAAAACTTAAGACCAGTTTGGTTTGTTTTTCTTTTAATTGTGCCTGGATATAAACTGTAGAGTTGTCCTCATTTTCTAGGGAAGAAAAATGGTGTTTGTTTTTTTTTCTTATCAATAATTTCCATAGTCTAATGACTACTTTTTGGTCAATACCGTGGGCAATGTTTTATGGGCTTCAGGATCTCCTATCCATGGGTAAACATTTATAACTAGAATCTCTCAGTAACTAATTCCTTTCATATTTTGTGAGCTTTCTTAGATTCAGGTTGGTTTACTATGCTATTTAACTCAAACCAGTGTAGCAACTTCTCTTTGGCCCTAAAGAATGACCCACATACGTTGTTTGTTTTTTAAATGACTTGCTCTTAAAGGAATTGCCAGGTGTTACTGCTTTCTTAGCTATGGTGATTGCTGGCTGTAAGTGTAGTCAATAAACAACCAGCCAGGTGAGATCCATGAAAAGGAATAGACATTTCGCAGGTGCAAAAAATTAATTACA